AAGCCAGTGGTCTGCTACATTGTTTGAAATCAGCAGGGTCAATAATGGTGATAGTGGGGAGGGTAAGTACAGTATGTGGGTTAATACTTCTGAGCTGGCCAAGAGATTACGGCACTGTCTAAAATATGAAGACCCCTTAGTGACATACTCTCCAAAGCTATAAAGCAAACTGACACCATCAAGACTACATGTACCAAAAGACAATCGGGAAAAGAGGAGACCTTTCAAATCAAACATCGACAGGCCTCAGTGAAATAATAGCGGGGCCTTATTTAGAGTTTCTTAAATGTGACAGGTTCTAGATTTATTTCATACCTAGTCTGTTTCCAGTGGTCTCTATGAGTACTTGATTTTCAGCATTTGCTTTTGAAAGCCCTTCTACAATAGATATGGACTGTTGTTAACTAAATTCAGGATGCTTTGATTTGTTAAAGCATTGTTATGTCTTCTTTCCTCTTTTGTTTTCCTGCACAGTGACGCCTGATATCTATAGAGCATTATTAACTAATGCCAAACCAATCTTTAAAAAGGCATTCAATACATTACTTTGTTTTTATTGTCTTCCTATGAATAACTTTTCTTACTGGAACTATTCCGTTTTAGCAATGTACTTTTTTGTGTAATTGAAGGACTATGACACCGGTATAACAAAGCTTTGGAGATATAATCACGTGTAACACTGCTCTGCCGTTTCTTTCACTGTGATCTACTTGCCTGAAACTGCCCAAATGTACGATCAAAAAAGATGCAACTCAACCTCTAGATCTGATAGAAAGGCAATACATTGATAAATTACAATACTGGATGATAAATGTATTTACCTTCTTGAGAGAACTACATGAAATGACGGATTTACCCATCTTAATTTTCTGTCCCGTTTGAAGCTGGAGTGAGGGCCTGGTTGGCTTAGGTCAGTGTTAGAAATGGAAACTACACATAATGTCAGCCTGAGTCCATTTAAAGGAGAAAAACACTTCCTATAGTTTCAGCAAGACAGCAATTGAGCATCTTACCCAAATGTTGACCTAGTCTTTTAAACAGAGTTATGTCTCCTTTCATTAGAAGTAGCCCCAGGTCTCTTCTTTTGGACTTCTGTTCCATGGCAAAGTTTGTGAACTATAAAGATCAAAACATTGACTGTTTCAACAAAATCACTTCTTAAACATGTTCTTGATTTTGTTGCACACCTCTTTCGTGTTGTTTTGTTTTATTAACTTTCTTTCTCTCTCCTCCATCCCCCTGTGCCTTTTTCTTTTGCCTCATAAATTCACTTCTGAAAAGTATATGTGGCTTTCCTGTAAGAAATCCTTTCTTAAGAAAAAAAGGATTCAACTTGCAATTCAAACTGGTCAACAATGCAGATTAGTACATGTAGAGATAGTTGGATTTGACGATGTCTCTGTGGCACACACGCCCTTTTCCTGTTATTTCTATGAGTTATTAAGATTTAAGCCCCCATATCTGGGTTACACTAGTCCCTCCCGCCATCCAGATGATGCCATCTGTGAGAAAAGAGCAGTGTGTGTGTGTGTGTGTGTGTGTGTGTGTGTGTGCGTGTGTGTGTGGAGCTTTCAAATCCAATGCAGAGTCTCATTTCACTATTAATCCAGGTCATCTCCACTAAGATGTTGATAGGCGGGATGGGACTACCGCTGTTTATGTAGAGTGGATGGTGTAAAACTGACATTAGACAAAACTGAGAAAGCTATAGAAGGTAAAATAAAACAACACAGAAATGTTACAGACACAAAACATTATGAATATTCAAAGATGTGCAATTAAGAAACAGATTAGCCAGCCAGGAACAAAGTGTACTTTTGGACAGCTAAAGACAATTTTGCCAAAGTTAATGCTTTAAACATTTAATTTTAATGCTGAAGGTTGAGCTAACTAATCAACTAGTCCTAGTACCTTTTTTTTTTTTTTTTTAAATTACTCAATATTCACTATTTATTGCCTCAAAATCTTAGGATTTTCTTTATTTCTATTCAGTGTTATACAAGGAATCTAATACTTCAGTTCAAGACATTTGATTATAAAAATAAGTTATTTTAAGTCATCTTGGAATAGAAACAAAATTAAGTCTACTTTTGCATGCAATGGAAGAAATGTGTCTGACTTTCATGTGCAAATATATGTCATAAAGGGAAATATATATATATATATATATATATATATATATATATATGCCATACAGAAGATAATTTAAACAAAATAGCACATTTCAAAAACCTTAAAACATGCTCATCATTACAGTTGCTAACATTAATATAAGAATAATCAGTCTATTATCATACTTAGTTGTCACAGTTAATGCTGCATATGCTTTTACCATTATTACTGAACTTCCAGATATAAATCTATCACATTCATTGTTGTTGTTGCTCAGTTTGTCCTTCTTCCTGCATCTACCTCTGTCCCACTTTATAAGCTCAACACCGTTTTGGCAGATGGTTGTTCATCACGAGTCTGTCTGTTAAAATAAAATTTGTCCTTGCCACTGTAACTTTGTTAAATGTTAGTGCTCGTGATGGATTAATGTTTGGTCTTTGTAGATTATATAACAATGAGAGTAAGGTATTTTACCTGCTTTTTGTAAAGTGTCTTGAGATAATTTGTTATGGATTGGCACTATACAAATAAAGATTGATTGACTGAAAAAAACACATCAGAATATAGTCTCTCTTTTTTTTTTACTGTAATCAGCGTTATTTAATGCAGTAATTAGTGAGCATACTGTTATTTATTAATTGCAGATACATTTGTATTTCTTTCTCAGTACTAACAGTAAGTACTATCTGTCACATTAATATAAAATTCATAGAAGGCAGCTGATGACTTACAGTGCATAAAAATAGGACTAATACATCCTGAAATTAAAATTCTGGATGTCAATCAGCTGGCATTACGACTGTGATTGGATGACAGGAGTAAATCTGCTGACTAAATCCCCTCATGGCTCAAGCTGTGATTTGGACCAGAGGGATTTGTTGTCAGAGTGAACTCTGTTCTGCAGAGATGTCTACTACTGTCTCCGTCCAACACAGGACAGCAGCAGGCCAGAGAACAATATTTTAATGTGGATGATACAGCTCGGACTAAAACCGTCACTGCTCCGGCCCAACGTGCTGACGTGACCAACACGACGTACGTTGACCCAACGGAAATGTTCTGGTAGGATTAGAAACATTTGTTTAATACACCACCAGAGCCACGTTGTGTCTTTATCTTTATGTATTGTGTACGTGCATTGTTAAAGGTTACCTGCTGCAGAGTTATAACAACAAACATCTCAGTTACTGACAGCCACCATTGGCAGAGGGCCGACAAATGACGCTACCTTGTTACCTTTGCGGAGTGTTGCTGTTACGTCTCGCAGGGAATTATGGGAATTTCCCGCCAACGACTCCCGCGTAATAAGGTTTTTTGTTATTGTTTTTGTTTTTTAAATGAGGAAACGCCTTATCCGGTTATTTACTGCAAATTAATGACTGACTCAAACGGCATTCATTGTATTTGTAGCTGAACTTATTCTGTCTGTAATTTTTTTTTATTTCAAAAGTTTTATCTTCTGAATGGGAACAATTCAAATCTCCCTGTAGCCTACATTTTGTTAACTATTTTGTGATATTTTTTTTATTTAACTAGGTAATTAACCCATTGAAAAACAAGATCTCTATCACAAGGGAAGCAGCACATGTCATAATAAACATTACCATTTTAATGTTACTACTGGATTTGTATTTTAGCCCAATACTATCATTATCAGTTTGCAGGTTAGACACAATATGATAAGGTGTTGTAAGGTTATGGATAGGATTAGGAGGATTTAGTATTAGCTGAACAACAAGACAGTCAACTTGCCTGTGAGGAAATAGGAACTAATAAACATCACTGATTTATAGCCTACCTGTTATTTATGGTATCTTAAGAAGTGCATGGACCATAAACACAAAGAGTTGGCTTTAATGAAGAAGAGGCATCTCATGGTAAGAAGATAAATAATATACTTAAATTATCATTCTTAAGATTGGGTATCTTAAATTTGTCTTTTTGTCAAGTGACCTCATTAACTTGTGGTCAACTGCTGAAGCAGCCGGCTTTCTCAGAAACTGAAGAATTAAACTCCTGAAATTTCATTAAAAACTTTGCGTCACATCTGTTAAAAATGCAAGAATGTTGACATCATCCCGGTGTTACGTTTCCTATCTCCCATAATCACTGTCAAGCAGCTCCGTGTTCTTTCCCAACTTTCCCCCAGCTTGTTTTTCCATGTTGCACAGACTATGGAAATGATGGTGGTTATTGCCCCCTTGTTAATAGTTTCCGGACTCACTCCAGCCTGTAATTATTGGCAATCACTCAATCACTTGTTTCAAGTCAATGTCATAATGACTTGCTAAGTCACTTAAAAATTGGCAAATTTGCTGTCTTCACACCTCTTTGATCACAATAACCTCACTGAATAAAGCAGCTGTGCCGCATGTTAAATCCATTTAAAAAATGCCCATTACCATAAGCATACAAAAGGTTTAACACTTTGACAGATGGTGGTAAATCGTGACAATAAACACAAAGTGTCCCACCATTCAACACAGAAAATGAAACAAAATCATGAATAGTTTAATTTTTGATTTTGATGCTTTCTCGTCTTTTGAACAATCTTTTTGGACATATGTAATAAAAGCAAAACATGAAAGGCATATTAATTTTTACATTTTGAATTCAGCTCCAATTATATTATATAAACCATTTTCCAACACTTTTCTATTATCAATATCTATTTATCACACACTTTACAATTCTAAACTTAAATAGTATATACCTGTATTCTTTACTGAACGCATAAATCATGACACTCTTCAATGTTTGATTACTATTGATGTTGTCTTTTACATGTTGATTTAAGAGCTCATATTTCTACTGTGCAGGTTGAAGTATTCACTGAGCTGACAGGGCTGTCTTCTCTTCCCCAGCAGGTGCTGAGTGTGAGATGTAAAACGAGGTCATGCCTTTGGTAAAGAGGAACATTGAGCCTCGCCACCTGTGCCACAGTGCAGTGCCTGATGGGATTGGCAACGAGCTTGAATGTGTGACCAATAACACGCTGTCCACCATCATCCGTCAGCTCAGTAGTCTGAGTAAGATCCCGGTGTTATTATCTTTATTCAACATTTGTTGAGACCGATAACATGGTGAACTTTGTTTTTATCATAAAATCTCTATAAAGTGTATCAGATCGTATATTTAACCCTTTGTTTGCAGAAATGAATCTGTCTGATCCCAATCTATCTGTAAAGTGTAGCCACAAAACTCATTAGTTTAAATTGTATTTGTTTTAGTAAAATCAACCTTAATTAGCTTTAAAGTTCAATAAAAGTCATGAGAAGTTGTATGTAGACAGTTTTGGAAACCATTAATGCAATTCTTGATTTTTCCAACTTACCTTTGGATTTTTTGAACATGTAATTTTGTTTGCAGAAGGTATGACCTTAGTACAACAGAAGATCAGCACAGCCTTGTGGACTCTTGCATGTTTTGATCATGACATGAAGCCTCACATCAACGACTGTTCATACTTACATTTTCTAATTCCCTTAACCACTGGTTTTCAGAAATAAGGAATCCTATATCCCAGTGAAACCTGTTTATTAGGCTCCAAACAAGACCAAATAAAACATGTTTTTTTACGTTAAAGCAAAGCAATTATCACCTTACTGTTTACGTTTTTACCAAATCTGCAAGGACTAACATCTACCCACTGGACCCACTACGAGCCAAAATGTACAGAAGATGATTGATTAGATGGTTTTGATGATTTTCAGCTCTGTCGTTGTGTTTCTGTTTCGGAGGCTTTTACAATTTGTGCATAAAAAATATGAGACAGCAAGGGATAATGTAGAGGGAAAGAATATGTTAGGAAGCAAATTTACTCCAGGACATCTGGTGAATGAGTACTCTGATTAGTGTGAGTGTGTGTGTAGGTGTGTGTGTGTGTGTGTGTGTGTGTGTGTGTGTGTGTGTATTTAGTGAAGATACACAAGCTTAGAGCTTACCGTAAAGCTTTGTTTCGCAGGCAGATAAGAAGCAGAGTCAGTGGGCGGAGACTCAAACAGTTAGTCTAATGATAGCTCCCACATTAAGGGGATCTGAGCTTTTTGGCGTGTGTCAGTCATGCTCTTATGTGCAGAGAAGAAACACTTAATGCAAGCTTTTGTTCCAGAGAAATATAATGGACTCAGAAAAACACACAAACTGTGTTTTATTTAAGAGCTGGAGAGTGTAAGAGCTTTACACAGAACATGCTGTATTTCAACAAAGTTCATAAAACTGAACATCACAATGTGAAGCTGCTTCTAATTAAAAAAAAAAAAAAAACATGAAATTAATGATTTAAATACAAAACTGTTAGCTAAACTCTACTTTCACATTAAACACAAGACAGAAGTAAAAGAGATAAATATATGTCTTTGGTGTATTAAAAATCAAATTCTTTCTTTGTCCATTTAATTTTTTTTTTGTTGTGCACCATGATGCACTTCTTTCTTCAAGTCAGAGATTGATAAGAGTTCTTGATTTAAAAAAAAAATGCTCCTCCATTTTCTTTGCTCTGGTTGCAGGTACACATGCAGAAAATGTTTTCGGGGAGCTTTTTAACGAGGCTAACACCTTTTATGGGCGTGCCAACTCCCTGCAGGACCGTATCGACCGCTTGGCCGTCAAGGTCACCCAGCTGGACTCCAGCGTGGAGGAAGGTTAGTCCACTGGAAGCCATCTGCCTGTTGATTAAATATCTTATTTTCTACCCTGTCATTCATTCTCAGATGCTTTTTATTCACCTTAAAAAAGCCTCTGTCTTTCTGTTTTGTAGTCTCGCTTCAGGACATAAACATGAGGAAGGCATTCAAAAGCTCCACTGTTCACGACCAGCAGGTTTTGTCAAAGGGCAGCACGCCCAGCTCGGTGGCTGAGATGCACAACCGCAGCGACAGGCCTCCTCCCCTCGATGCCCTCACTGCCTACAGGTACTTTATGGCTTTAAAAAACGACTACTTCCCAACATGTTACAGCATATGTTACAGCATATATTGGATTGGGAAAATTGTTTTTCAACACAGGGAGGATTCTACAAATGCGATGAACTTCTACTCCGACCCATCGTACTTCTTTGAACTGTGGAAGGAGAAAATGCTCCAGGACACCGCGGAGAAGCGGAAAGAAAGGCGGAGGCAAAGGGTAAGAGGGAGAGAACACTCTACCCCACTGCTTTATGTTTTTTTTTCACATTTTTGTTTGGCAGATAGGTTTTCATTTCCTTCTTTGGCCTTCAATTCAGGAGCAGAAGCGATGTGTGGAGAGCAGCACCCTTCAGCGCGAGGTGAAGAAGGTGAGAAAGGCGAGAAACCGCAGACACGAGTGGAACATGATGGCCTTCGATAAAGAGCTTCGTCCAGATCACCGCCATCCACAAACCCTGCGCCGAGGGGCTTCGTCTGAGGGCTCGCTCTCACCTGATGGCAGGTTAGTAGTGCATCTTTTGAAAGAAAGAAAGAAAGAAGGGATACAACCAGGGTTCAAAATGTTAGTAGTAACACACACATCATGAAAGTGCAGGGCAGATAAAACAAAGCATCAGCATTTAAAATGTCTTAAATGTAGAATGGATCAATCCTGCTTTTATTATTCATGTAGTAAGTGTGCAGGCTTGTCTCCTTCATCATCTTCATTGAATTTGAACATTCAAAACTGCACGGCTTTGTGGAGACGTTTGCAGTGATAACTGTTGTACTCTTTTTGACACTCTGTTTGAAATCCTTTGGATGGCTGCTTAATAACTATTTCTTCAAATACTAATATATGGAAAATCTGTTAAAACTGCACATTTAAAAGATCTCCAGGGCAGTCTTTTTATATGAAATTCCTAAATGTCTCTATTGCTACATGTTCTGTCAGTCAATATTATTCTTGAAAAAACACCTAAAAGACAAAACAAAGTATGATGTATCTAGATTTCTGTACATTATGTTTAACATTAAAGACAAAGATCAGGTGGAGTTAATCCTAAAAGAGGATTTTGGTAGGGGGGTTCAATCTTGAGAGTCAAATTGAAATTTGTCTCCCGTATATAAAGCTTCTGTTAGGATTATTTTAACAAACAAATCCACCATCTGGATATCATCTGAATGAGAAGCGTTTTGCCATCCATTGTTTATCCAGGCCTGACCTCCCAGACTACCCCATCCCTCCTGTGCCTGCCCACGCTGCTTGTAATTATGCCAAGTCACATAATAAGCCATCCTCGTCACCACCTGTGGAGCATGAATACCACAGCATTGATGTCAACTACAAGAGAGTGACCTACGACACTGCAGAGCCCCTCACTCTGAACGGCTCATCACATCCACCTGCAGACTTCCAGTATGTTTGTTTCTTTTTTTTTTTTTTGCATCATCAGAGGAAGAATTAAATGATGTTTTTTTCTTCTACAAAATAATATTTTTTCTTTCTTTTTAATGTCATCCAGCTCGCATCCTCCACCTCCTACCTCAGGCCCACCCATCCCCTCAGCACAGACAGCCTTTGGTTTCCCTCCGGTTGCACTTTCACCAACACCACATAATGGAGTTTCACATATAGGCCCAGGCTACCCGCTCCCACCTGTACCTCCTCCAGGAATACACATGATGCCTCCTCCTCCGGGTCCTCCTCCTCTCCCTCCCCCAGCTGCACCCTCACACCTTGCAGGATGCAGCGAAGGAGGAAGAGGGGAGACAAAACCCGTGAGAGATGCGAGGAGCGACTTGTTGTCCGCCATTCGTATAGGTGAGTCGTGGTATTTGTACAGTTTATTTGGAAATGCTTTCTGAAGTATATTCTGTGACTGACAGTTGTACCATATTATTTCTCATTTCACTGTGTGTGTCGTTATCAGGCATCCAGCTGAAGAAAGTCCAAGAGCAGCAGGAGCAGCAGAACAAGCGCGAGCCGGTGGGGAACGACGTGGCCACCATCCTATCCCGTCGCATTGCGGTGGAGTACAGTGACTCAGAAGAGGACTCGGAGCTGGATGAAAACGACTGGTCAGACTGACCAGACAAAAAAGCACAGCATCTGATTCAAAATTGACTTCAGTGGATTTTCAGTGCATATAAAGCAAAATCACTCTCTTTGGCTCCACCTGGTGTGCTGTACATACAAATCCACTGTGGGCAGAGTATCCATAACCTCCTCCTTAATGATTCAAACTGCAATCGATGCAGTGTAAGCTTCAAGTTTTCTAACTTTCATAACCTGCCGCTCGATATGTTCCCATATAATGTCTCCTTATAACTGACACCATTGATCACACCTTACCCCCAAATGTCACCCCAGGCCTAAGACATTTTGAAATACCCCAGTAGAAAAGCTCAGGTATAAATAATAAAGTGATTGGCTAAACTCCATGTAGCTGCTTTAGTTTCAGACTCCTGGTGTTGTGTATCATGTGACACATGGCTTAGACTCTAATAGAGTCATCATTATAGTTTTTGGAAAGATCTGGGAGGTTTCCAATTTTATCAAATCATAATGCCTGCATACCTTTTGTTTATAAGACGATGCAGCAATATAAAAAAAAGCTATGAAGTTATTCACTTTTTTCTTTTAATGAAATAAATTGCACATCCCTTATAATATGTTGCATTAAACATAGTCACCTTTGCATTATGTCTTTGATAAAGAACTCCTTGTGAAATTGTGTAACTGCTACCTCAATTTGTGTTCATTCTCAATCGGTTCGTGCAATAGGGTATCATGATCAGGATGAAAAAGTTTTGCTCTGCAATTAAATTATTTGTTGTGTTGTGTCTTTTAAAAAAGTGGACCTATCATTAAATCTTTTCATTATCAGACAGAAAATCGTGTCTTTTTTTTCTCTTCAATTTCTTCTTATTCCTCATCCTTATCTTCTTCCTTTTTTTGTTTCAGGTTGTGTATGTAACTGAACTCTAGTGCAGATTTGCAGAAGCTTTTCACTGTGAATCCAGACAATTGGATGTTGTTGTTTTTTTTGTACATGTCAGGCTCTGACAGCCTCTGACAGTTTTATTTTTGAAATATTGTAATAATCACACTGTATGCTGATCAGCCCACTTATTAAACTGATTGCACCAATGTGCAAAACTGAGAGATACAGGACGTCTTGTATACCAGCTGCTATAAGGTTTTACAATGCACAAAAATAACTTTGCACTTTTTTTATTTAATTTTTTATTTAATTTCAACTTATTAAGTATGGAAGCTATCTGATGAAATGTGTGGTGTTATGTCTGTCTTGAAGCTGTTGTGGCACTGTAATTTCCTGTAAATGATTATTAAAGGATCTATCTATCTATCTAAAAAAAAAAGCATTTAAAGTTGTAAACATGGAAATGAACTTCTCACGTACGTCCAGCAGAGGTCAGTAACGCGCCTGGCTGACGTTTGTAAACTGGCGGAAGTTTTCAGCGCTTTGGAAACTGTTTCGCACCGGACGCCATCTTGGCTCCACCGATAATCAAAGCGAGTTAGAACCGTAGACTACGGGGGGGGATCGTTTGAGCCACAATGGAGATGTTTACTTCCCGTGACAGTCCGGTGCCTGGCAGGTGATTAGCACAGCGAAGCTCCTCCTCAGCACGTCTACGTAAGAGAAACCTGCAGAACTGCTTCTCAAGAAAAGGTAATATGTGTTGAATTTATAACAGTTTGAGATTTTAATCCTGCTGAGTTAGCGTTAGCGTTAGCTTTACCTGCAGGTGTTGATGACGTAAGCAGCCAGTGTCCGCTAGCTCCTGACCTGCACTCGTACAAATCAGCTTTGCTACGTGTGTGTGTGTAGTGACACACACACACACACACACTGTGCTACCATCTGTCTAGCGAGTATATCCTCACCGATGAATTGCGGTCACACATTTGTGACCTTATCTTTTTACCCCAGTGAGGTTAAATCCATGTAATGGTGAAGCAGCCTCTGCGCAGAGTCGGCTTGTTTACCTGACTGACATTCATTTCACAGAGAGCATCGTGATGTTTCTCGGTTGTGTCGTATTTCAATTTATGCTGCAAAAAGCCCTAAAAAAGTGCGAACATTTTGCGTCACAGAATCAGCTGTAACTGTAAATCTTGGTTTACTGTCAGCCAACATGAAGTAGTACACTGTGTGTCTGTGTTGCGTCATGGCGTTGGTTTGTTTGCTGAGTGTACTCAGCATTACAATTCACTTAGCAGACTCTTTTATCCAGAGGGACGTACATCAGAGAGTAAGAACAACACAAGCAAGGATCTATGAAAAAAAAGGGAACAATGTCAGTAAGAGCAAACGATCAGCTGTGAGTCTGATTGGACACACAGGTGCTGACAGGAAGTGACCAGAGGCAAAGCACAACATTGAGGGCAAGAGCTCTAATCAGTATAGAAACCATCTTATAAGTCATCATTATCAAACAAAAACCTTAGTCACAACCATCATCATCATCAATGATATCGAAACCATCATCCTTAGGTTAGTAGGTGTTCATGAAAGAGCTGGGTCTTTAGCTTTTTCTTAAAGGTGCAGAGGGTCTCTGCAGATCGAATGGAGTTTGGAAGTTCATTCCACCACCGGGGGGCGACAGAGGAGAAGAGTCTAGTCAGAGACTTAGGACCCTGTTGTGAAGGTTGGATCAGACGCCTTTCATTGGCAGAGCGTAGTGGGTGGGAGGGAGTGTAGACCTGGGCCGTATCCGAATTGCCAAGTACATACTCAATCTGTCAGTAGACAGTACCTACTATCCGTGCTGTATACGGTTTAGTACCCACTATTCAGTAAGCGCGCACAGTAGGCAGATATTTGTTCCTACTTCTTCTGATTCATTCAGTATGGAAGTGACGTTATTTACGTTTCCTGAACCGGCCGCATTCACCCGTTTTTTGGGGGGGGGGGTTTTGTTTAGCTTTATTCAAGAAGAGTAATGCTCATATACAGTCAGGTAAACAAAAAAACAATATCACAATATAAATCAAGTAAAAGGCAGATTAAATAACTAAATAACATACAGTACATAAAGGAAAGTACAAATGAAAGACAGTAATATACAGAATATAAAATAAACCAATAAAGACTCATTTAAATAGTGAAATCATTATTTAAATAGAGGGGGAAAGGTTTTATAATAATGCAGATATTTGTTATATTGTCTGTTGTTAATTTAAAGTAGTGATTTCAGTTAAGATGAAAAATTGATTCAATAAATCCACGCTCGTTTGTTTTGATTTGGAGGCGGACGTGAAGTGAGGATTTACGTTTAATTTCGCACAGCATTGTGGGTGGTAAAACACAATTCATTTCCTGAAAGCACGCATCCGATCCATACTGCATAAAACCCGGAAGTTAGTATCCATACTGAAATGTTCAGTATACTGAGGTGGACCCAAAAAAAGCATACTGAATGACCACGAAAGTTCATTATACTGAAACTCCATACTGAATAGTACGTACTGCATACTGAACTGTGGCTATTCGAAAAGGGCCCAGGATCAGAGAGTTAAAGTAAGGAGGAGCCGTTTTTTTGTCGCTGTTTTGTAAGCAAGCAGCAGAGTTTTAAATTTGATGCGAGCAGTAACTGGGAGCCAGTGTAAGGAGATGAACAGCGGAGTGACATGTGCATTAATGACCTGGAAGTAACTGTGTCTTTAATATTTTCCTTTTCAGATATTTTTGAAGCACACAAACTATCAAGATGGACACGTCAAAACTTCCGAAGATCCGGGATGAGGACCGAGAAGGAGAGTTTGGATATGTTCACGGGGTTTCTGGACCAGGTATGATTCATATCCCTTCTTCTGTCTTTATATTATTGAAATGTATTTGCAGCATTGCCCTAACGATGACCTCGTGGTTAAAGGGCAACGTTAAAACAAGCAAACAAACAAAGCATTAGTTAGATTATGTGAATGTGTTGAGATTTTCAGAACAATCCTTGACTAACAATTTTCTTCAATTTTGTCCCGTCGACAGTGGTGACAGCGACTGCAATGGCAGGAGCGGCCATGTACGAGCTGGTTCGCGTGGGTCACAGTGAACTGGTGGGAGAAATCATCCGTTTGGAGGGAGACATGGCAACTATCCAGGTCTACGAGGAGACATGTATCCTTTCAGTGGCAGTGTTGTAAAACATGTAGCAGAACATGTTAAGATCTTCCATAAACCTAAACTTACACAATGAATGTAACAAAAGACACATTTAAAGCTTAATTGAATTTCTTTGCAGCATTCTTTGTTTTCCCTTAACTAGTTATTTTTTTACAGCTGGTGTGTCCGTCGGTGACCCTGTTCTTAGGACTGGAAAACCGCTCTCTGTAGAGCTAGGACCGGGGATCATGGGCTCCATCTTTGATGGTATCCAGCGTCCTCTGAAGGACATCAATGACCTCACTCAAAGTATCTACATCCCCAGAGGAGTAAACATCGGTGCTCTTAACAGAGACAGCAAGTGGGAGTTTAACCCGGTCCAGAGTCTGCGGGTAAGAAATGTACAATCTCAGAGTGGTGTCGTCTTTTAGAATCTCTCCAGCGGGACTGTTCAGACTAATTTCACCTTATTTCTTCAGGTTGGGAGTCATGTGACAGGTGGAGACATCTATGGCATGGTGTTTGAAAACTCCCTAATCAAGCACAAGCTGATGCTTCCTCCTCGCAACAGAGGCACTGTCACCTACGTCGCCCCGCCGGGAAACTATGACATCTCTGTGAGTGTTGCTCGGGAAGCTGAACGCTCTTTTTCGTCTGATCAACTTTTCTCTGTGAAACTGATTTCTGATCTTCGTGCGTTCAGGATATTGTTTTGGAGCTGGAGTTTGAAGGTGTGAAGGAGAAGTTCACCATGGTGCAGGTGTGGCCGGTACGACAGATCCGCCCTGTCACAGAGAAGCTACCTGCTAATCACCCACTGCTGACTGGTCAGAGAGTTCTGGACGCTCTTTTCCCGTGAGTCGTCCTTTCAGCAGAACTTTTTGGCACTCATTTTCCTGCACACCTAAAAACACTAAACAGTTGTTTTCCAGCTGTGTTGGCAGGACATCTTTATTCAGTCATGTATCTCCTCAACAAACTAAGCCATTTCTCGCTGTTAGCTGTTAGCTGTAGGGTACATACTGTATGTTATGCAAGTCTTCTATATATGTTTGTTTTTGCACTAATTTAATTCTAACATAGCGTGTGCTGGTCTTGCTTGTGGTCGCCAGTCCTCGATACATCTGTGATATTACCCTACCTGTATT